GGCGACAAGGGCATCATATCAAGATGGGTCGGTTGAGATAATCTGCAACCTACCTATGCAAAGTGCATGATCGGGTGCAAAAAATAGCATGGTCAATAGGATCCTCGATGAACTTGATGCTCGCCTTCAAGGGGGATCACTGACTTGAGAATACTATTGATGCACTAGGTGATGACAAGTCAGACCTGACTAGACAGAGGTGACCTAGTCAGACTATGTCCCATGTACCAACAATTCGATTTTGAGACATTTCCCTAGACACTTCGCTCCAAAAGAGGACGAGCCCAGATGATACATTCTAGAGAATAAAGATACAGATGTTACAAACAAAGAGTCATCACCGTAGGAATATTACGTGGTCTTAGCACGTGGCTAGGGATGGGCGCACATGGTCATGTCTCTAAGCTTCAACTATAAATAGACTTGTAAATCCTCAGTAAATGGGATCTAAATTCAATATTCATAAGTGTCTTATAAGCTCTAGCTTATAATCCCCTCATTATATTCATAAGAATTAAGTTACGGGTTTTCCCACCCACAGCTTTATCAATAATTTTATGTCAATGTGTTAGATAGTTTATCAACTCAACTCACCACTTAGGCCCGATCTAGAACTTTATTACCCGATCAACTAGTTGATTTATACCCTCGAGATCTAATAAAATTATCTTATATGGTCAATATTTGTCAACTATAAAATGTTAAAATTAGACAAATACTCTTAAGCAGAGGTTGATAATATGGTGTGTTGAGGGAGGGTACTACATTGTTAGTGTGTTGCCTTATCACCCCACATGGTGCAAAAAATAAATAAATATGAAAAGGTCTTCAACACACGTACTCCACTACGTAAGGCATGGGCCACACTTCCATAAAACATACGGAGTACTCATTAAAAATGGGTGAGCATCATCCTGAGGGCTCCTTTAGACTGGACGGTTACTAAGAGGAGATAAATTAGACTTTAATCGCAGATTAATGGTAAAGAGTAGAGCATGCACCTTGTACTTGTTGGGACTCTATGCTTAGCATAATTGCCTCCCGACGCAATTACCAGGAATCAAACTCGGGTCTTACTCTCTTGGCACCATTGCCTTGCCAATTGCGCAACGCCCACCGGCTTCCATAAAACACATAAAAATCACTTTCTATTAGTTCACAATTAAATTCAATCACAACCTAAAACTTTGTAGTCTAAGTATACCGCTATATTTTTTCTCAAATAGGAGGTCATGTGATAACCGTAACAGACAGTAAGTGTATGAGCTTCAATAGATTGAGAATATATAAATAGATACTACCTTATAATAAAGTTATAAGTGTTCAAAAAAATCTATCCCAACTTTCTTTCCCCTTCTTGACTAGTTGAACTACCTCATTATATTCATACATACTTTCATAAATATTCTTTTCGTTATATATTGATTTACAACACTCGACTAATGTGCGAAATATGTACTATCTTATTTAAATTGATTTTATCTATAAATTAGAATATAAATAAAAATACAAATTACATTATTAAAAATTGGACGAAGACCTTTTAACCTTGAAAGCTTGGTTCATTTTATGATCTGGGCACCTCTACGATGCTCTATTGGTAAAATAGATAGTTTTTATCCTTTTAACACACACAACCCCCAACCCCGCATTATACCCCCCTCTCCGCCCACCTTTGCTGATTTGGGCCGCCCAAATCGATATTTTAGGAGGGACATGAGGGTTGGGGTGGGGTGTAAGGGGTAGAGGATTGCAGGCTGGACCTATTAATTCTACCAACGGAGCTACGTAGGTGCCCTGGTTCATAAAATGAATTTGGTTTCAAGATTAAAAAGATCATTTTGTTAAATATAACTCCGTATATAAAAAGTTCTGCAATACAAATTGTGACTTAATTTATTTTATCAAATAACTAATGAAAACACACGACTAAACAAAAGTTATCAAGAGACTCAAAATGGTTAAAGTATAAATCGTTTTGGCACAGAGGACATATAAACTAGGATTTAAATTTTTATCCTGATATCTATAGAGATCAAGTTTGGCATCATCTTACACGAGAAGATGTAAAATTTCTGTGGGTGGGCTTTGCACAGTTTGCAAGATAAGAGATGCCCAGGAAATAATACCCGAGTTTGATTCTTAGGAATTAAATTGGGAGACAAGTATACTAAGCATAGTGTCTATATATGTGGTTCTAGTCCTTACCACCAATCTATGTTTAAAGTCAATTTATCTCTTCTCAAGTGATGCTAGTTGTAAAGGGCCCTCATGGATACGATTCATCAAAAAATATAAATTTTCTAAGACAATTTGGTCCAGAAGTTTATAGTGATGATGTTCGATATCTCAAGTATCAAAAGAAATCATCCCAAATAGAAGTATACTATAGTAACATTTATCCTAAAAATGAGTTCAAAGTTTGTCAAGCTTGAACTAAAAAAAATCAAACTGATCAAATACATTCGGATGGAAGTAGTATATTAGAGACATATTTAATGTTGGGCCTTACAAATTTTTGGTTTAGGACGAGTACCGTTGGGGGTGCCCTATAATGGGCCGGTCGTTTGCATGGCACGGACTGGTTTTCGACACCAACCCAGACCATAATGGAGAACAAAAGGCCGTAGTGGATCGGCCTTGTATTATTAAATGCAAAACTTTAATAACTTTTAGGCATTGGACTTAACTTAAGAGGACTAATTTCGTTTTAGATTGGCCTTGTAATCTTTATTTGTTTCTTACATTCGAAATTATTGTTTTTTTTTTATTTAGAAAAATGTTATTTTCAATAAATGAGTTGAAATAAAATAAGTCTTAAAATTGAATCTGTCACTAATTTACGCAAACATTGTTTGTACCTTATCTCCAAAGTTTTTTAATCAATTTAACATAATTTTTTACTCCATATTAAGGTCGTGTTCTTTTCGATTAGAAAAAACTAGATAGAAAGAACTAGAAAGATTTTGAAAAGCTGGAAAAAATTTTAAAAAACGGTAAGGAATTGAAGAAACTCAAAAGAGTTAGAAAAATTTAGAAATTAACGTTTCAAATTCAAAGAAAAGCAAATAACTAATTTCGAATAAACAAAAGAGTGGACAATTAAATCAAACTTATCAAAGTGATGGCCACACTATAGACTCCTTAGAAGAGGGTGAATAAGGAGTTTTAAAAAGCATTTCAATTTTTAAATTTATTTGTGCCTAAAGCTGTATATCGTTCACCTGATTTGATTTTCTGAAGATTTGATCTGATCTGATTGCAATTATAATGAAAGATATTTTTGATCTGATGTGATATTGTTTGATCTGATTTAATTATAATAAAAATAAGTAATAAGCAGAAAAAATAAGTTAAAGGGACACTATCTAAGTCACTACTTGTATGTACTTTATGTATAAATAAAATGTGAAAGTATAAAACAAGGAAATATGGAGCAATATAGATAACCTAAAAGGACTCAATTTAACGTTTGCACTGAATAGGACTAAAACATAAGTCATTTTTCAATGTAGGATTTAAACTTTTTTATTTTCTAAATAGAACTTAATAATGGCTAGTGAGAAGAATAATATCCAAGTGATGTTGGACATTTAATTGAATAATGACTAATAAATAATGACTAATGGTTCTACATTGGGAAATAAAAACATATGGTTCTATATTGAGAAAATCATTATTTTTAGTCCTATTTAAGTAAATTACTCTTCATATATTTTATCGTTTGAAATTTAATATTTCAAAATTTAATTATTAAAGTGTAAACAATTGAATTGGATATTATTAGGTAGTTCTCAATTGCTAAAACTCATGTTTTAGTAAATGTGAAGAATGTCAAGAACGAATCAAAATTCGTACTCCTTCGGTCCCACTGTATTTGTCCACTTACCTTTTGGCACACCATCCAATGCACTTCTTTAATCCATTTTATCTTGTAATTTGTATATTAAAAAATTATAGAAATTATATATTAATAATCTATATGTTAAGACGAATCAAACAAGATCACACATGACTATTTTTAGGCTTACACATTGAGAGAATTTGATGAGTCAAAGTGCTTAGATGAACAGTTCTAAAAGTCAAAAGTGGACAAAGACAGTGGGATGTCAAAGAAACGAGATTAAGTGAATGCTTTTCACTAATAACCAAACTATCACATAATAATTTTACCCATCACATCAGGGTCAAAATTGGAAAGTCAACCAAAATTACACTTTCTTTATTTTTGCCCAAAGTCAAAATGGGAAGAGTTTAAAGGAACGGAGGGAGTAATTCTTAGATCTAAAGAAATAGAATATAAAAATGAATGTATGTATATAGATCAAAACACTAATTAACTATAGCAACTTTTCTCTCACGTCTCCAAAATACATTAAAACGTGACCCATGATCATGTGAGATGACCTAATCTTTGTTGCCAATGTAAATAGTGAAATTTGCACTAAAGACTAAAACATACTCCCTCCGTCCCTGAGTTTTTGTCCACTTTTATTTTTGCACACCATCCAATACACTTCTTTAATCTATTTTATTTTGTAATTTGTATATTAAAAAATTATAAAAATTATATATTAATAAGCTATATGTTAATACGAATCAAACAAGATCACACATGACTATTTTTAGGCTTACACATTGAGAGAATTTGATGAGTCAAAGTGCTTAGATGAACAGTCCAAAAATCAAAAGTGGACAAAGACAATGAGACATAGGTAGTATTTGTTTTTGCTCCCCAAATACACCCTTGAAATTGGATTCAAGAGAACTGGTGCACATCTCACTATATGCTTCACAATGTATGATTGACAATAATCATAATTAAGGTCTCACGAATAATCATGTTCAATCTGTATAGCATAGAGTACTCCATATCAAATACCAATTTTAAAACACCTCAAGCTTATAATTTTGAATGTGTATTTCAAATTTAGATTTAACTCTAATTTCATGTTTGAGAATTTAATAAATCTAAGTTATGCTTTATAAACATCCTTCGAATTTATAACAAAATCTTATTTAAAAAATTCAAATACTTTGTCGTTTGAAAGTGAAGATTTCAAAATTTATAATTGATATGCAAACAATTGAATTGAATTTTTATATTTTAACTCATGTTTTAGTAAATGTGAAGAATGTCAATAATGGATCGGTTGCAGAGGGGACAAGAGCCGCGGCTCAGGCGGAGCTCCGCCGAACACACTCTGCAAAAGGTGTGGCCGCACGGTATAAACGCTGCGCACTTTCTCCTCCCCATGCACCAGCAGCACGCCGCCGCCGCTCTGCATCTCCACCCCATCCCCGCCCTCGGCCGTTTCCTCCAGCAACCTCATCAACGATATTCTGGCCGGTGTAGTTCGGCCTCCGTCTCGAACCGCCATGTACTGCCGCTCGGCCTCCAACGCCGCAGCAAGATTCATCCCCGATCCCGCCGTAGTCTCCGACGCACACGACGGCGCCGGCCCACTCTCCTCAACTCCGTCGTCATCTGTAACTGCGGCGGTCGTCGCCGGCAAGAAACCCCAGGAGGCGCCGCAGCAGCTGATCCCTCTCATTCCCAGCCACCGCTCCACGACACCCTTTCGTCGCCGCCTCGCCAATTGATCGCCGGCGTCCATTTCTACCCTCCTTCCGATCCCCTGCAACCCAAAACAGAAGATTAATTCAGCCATTTCAGGATGAAACACATGAACATTCCTTCATATTGATCATATATCATACTGCAACACTACACGAGTACGCTTAATAATGTATACACAGAGGAGGAATGAAGGAATTGAAGGCGACCGCCGAAGAGCAGAGCATCCGCCGCTGTTGCCTGCTTGAAATGAACTACGGAGTAACAGTCACGGGTGAAGGAGAGTGACTTTAATTGAATAATTTAGTTAAATACCACTAAAACATAATAACTTTTTCTAAATAGCACAATATGTATTTTTCTTCCCAATGTAGTACTTTTAGCCGGATAATTTTTTTTGAAATGCTCACGCTAATCTCTTGTGCTGATGTCAAGTGAGACCTTTATATACTTCTCTTGCCCTATCTTACCACTCGCCACCTTTTACCTCGATCGCACATGCATTAGCACCAGTGTCCACATCCACCCCGTCACCACACTCATGCCTTCCCCATCCACACCCCATCATACTATGCGCCAACCATCCTACTCCGGCCTCACAACGAAGCCACTCACGCAAGCACCCTATCTTCGCCCACCGTCTCTTGTCACTTCCCAATCACCCAAGAACTTCGGCACCTGCTCCTCTCCACCGTGCGCCACTTGCCCCCCCATATGGTAGTGAAATGTTTGGCAAAATGTCTTTTTTTTAATACTAATTTTTAAATATTAACAATAAAAACTACTTCCTCCGTCCCACTATATTTGTCCACTTTCATTTTTGCACACCATCCAATACACTTCTTTAATCCATTTTATCTTGTAATTTGTATATTAAAAAATTATATAAATTATATATTAATAATCTATATGTTAAGACAAATCAAACAAGATCATGCATGAATGACTATATTTAGGCTTACACATTGAGAGAATTTGATGAGTCAAAGTGCTTAGATGAACAGTTCCAAAAATCAAAAATGGACGAATATAGCGGGACGGAGGGAGTATTTTTTATATGATTGAAAAATAACTTTTTCTTAAAAGCATTTTCTTTTGAAATGAATGGAGTATAAATTTTCAAATAAAAATAAGAATAATGTAAATAAAATGAAAAAAAAAACATGGCAAGAGGGGGCCGGGCGAGAGTTGGTAGATGGCCCAAATGTTAATTGCAAGTCGCTCGCAATGGCAACAGCCCCCTCGGACGCGTTGAGAACGAAATGGTCCATTCTTGTCAGTTCAAACAGCAACAACCGGTCCCCCCACCCCCCCCCCACTTTGTACGATGTTGAGGCGGGTTACGTGGCGGAATCTGAGCCCAGTGACTTGACCCTAACTCGCCAACGTTGACAGTTAGCCCACACTCTTCTCCTTCCCCCAGTTTTCCTCAAACAACCCTCTCTCTGCTTTCTTCGGGCTCCAGACGTCGCAGCCACCGAAACCAATCAAAGAATGGCGGCGATTTCATCTCTCTCGCAGTTCCCTTGCAGACCCATCGCCGGGGTTCGCCAGCCGCAGCTCTACACCCCAAAAGCATTCGCCTTTCCGGCGAAATCGGCGGGTTTTCACTCGATGGCGGCTCCGGCGAGGTCGTCTCCGAACAGGGGATTCGTGAGTCCGAAGGGGAGATTCTTCTCCCGGGCATATGGGGAAGATGGGTTCGGGGATGAGGAGGAGGAGGATGAGCAGGAGGAGACTCCGGGTGGCGTGGCGGTGGCGGAAGACGGGCCGGAGGCGGCGGAAACGGACGTGCTGAAGAAACAGCTGGTGGATTCGTTCTACGGGACGAACAGAGGACTGGCTGCTAGCAGCGAAACTCGGGCGGAGGTGGTGGAGCTCATCGCGCAGCTGGAAGCCAAGAATCCGACGCCGGCACCCACGGAGGCGTTGACTCTTCTCAATGGAAAATGGGTTCTTGCGTAAGTCTCTTTTTTTATATCGGATACAACTAAATCGAATAACAACTGTACGTACAAAAATCTTTAGATGCCCAGGAATAGCTTTGTGCAGTCTAATCCAACACAAAGTTTGGATTTTTAAATGAATTCAATCCCCAAATGATTTGCATTTGAATTGTAGAATCAGACCTCTTGAAGGTTGCCAAACAGTTTTTGAATCTGCAGTTCAAGAAACTGCGAATTCTAAGGGTCCGTTTGGTACACGGAATTGATGGAATTGGAATTGAATTAAAATTTTATGGGATTCAATTCCATAGAATTGATATCAGCCAATTCCAATTCATTTGTTGCATTATCAATTTCAAATTCACATAATTTTTGTGCTACCAAACACCAGAATTGGAATTCAAGTCCCTAATTCCAATTCAATAGTTTGAATTCCATGTACCAAACAGGACCTATAAGTGATTTTCAAACAAAGAATTGGAATTCTAGAACACATAATCTTAAAATCTTGATTTCCACCAGGTACACATCTTTTGTCGGGATGTTCCCTTTGTTATCAAAGGGCACACTCCCTCTAGTCACTGTCCAAGAAATATCTCAGACCATCGATTCTGAGAGTTTCACTGTGGAGAACTCTGTCGTCTTCTCCGGGCCATTGGCGACCACTTCCATCAGTACCAATGCCAAGTTTGAAGTGCGTAGCCCTAAGCGTGTGCAGGTCAGTTCCTTTGCTCACCATCATCTCTCTATATGTGCTTTCTGTGTATTTTGGTGCTCATGGTCCGTTTTGAATGTGAAATGAGCTCAGATAAAGTTTGAAGAAGGCATAATTGGGACTCCACAGCTGACAGATTCCATTGTGTTGCCGGAGAGCGTGGAGGTGTTGGGGAGCAAGATTGATCTCACCCCTTTCAAAGGGTTGGTCACTTCTTTACAAGACGCGGCTTCTTCGGTGGCCAAGTCCTTCTCCAGCCACCCGCCATTGAAGTTCTCTCTTGCCAGTACCAATGCCGAGTCTTGGCTTTTGACCACATACCTGGACAACGAGCTTCGGGTTTCAAGAGGAGATGGTGGCAGTGTGTTTGTGCTTGTCAAGGATGGCAGCCCTCTCCTGGAGCCCTATTAGTAGTAGAATTCCAGAATGGTTTTCTTGTTGTTGTATGATTCACACACTTTGAACACTGTAGTTGTGCACCAGATGTGGAGTGGACATGGATCTGTCTAAATGAGATGAACAATTCAAGCTGATCTTTTGTGTATTTATATGCTTCTTATTATTTGTGCCAATAAAATTACAAGCTTTTGCTTGTTGGCCTAGAGGAAACCCATTGAGCCATACATGCTCGACAATTTCCCAAATGTTATGTTTGGAATCGAACCCGTGATCTTGGTATCAGTCAACCAAGAGCTTTAGAAATGACCTTCTATTTTGAATCTTGCCTTTAAAATACCTGAACTCGTCGAGACAAAACGACACTGGAGAAGGGTCAGGCTCGGATCTTGCTCATTATCTGCTTGAACACTTCGAACTCGGCCAAGTGTTTAAGAGTGGTTGTAATGGGAAATGGTTTGAGGTTTAAACCCAACTTCAATGCTTCAATTTTATTTAAAGTTGGAAGAGGTTTGGATTAGGTGACAATTATATTTTGAAATATTTGCACTAAATAGTACTAAAACTTAGGTCATTTTCCTGACTCCCATATAACCACAGGGGATTTTGGTGCAAGTAATACACAGGCATGCAAATTAGAGTAAAAAGTTTGGGATACACTTAGAGTGCATTCTCGTCAGCTGATCTAATCTGAACTTATTTTTTTAAGGTTGATCTGATCTAAATTAATTTAATTCAAATTTAAATAATAATAATAATTATTTATTATTAAATATTATTAATAATTATTATTAATAAGTATTATTAATAATTATTATCAATATAATACAATAATAATTTTTATTATTTATTATTTATTATTTATTATTATTGTTTTTATCATCATCATTTTTAGTTTAATATTTACAGTAATAAATATTATTATAATTAATTATTATTCTTTTTAATAATTTATATTATTCTTTTTAATTATTATGATTATTGATGATGATTATCATTATTACTTATAATGTATGATACTATGATAATAATAATAATAGTTTATTATTTATTATTTTTTATAATTACTAATAGTATTACAATAATAATTTTTTTATTAGTCATTACAATGGTAATTATTAATTATGATTATTATTACTATCTTTATTATTTTAATAATTCTATTAATTATTATTATAATTATTACTTTTAGTATTATTAAGTGTTGTGATTAACGATGATGATTATCATTATTATTTATTATTTTTTATAATTATAACAATTATTATTATTATCATTAATTACTATTTGTTATTATCATTATTATTGATTATTTTTAGTTAAAAATAATTATACACATTGTTATTATTATTAATTATTTAATAATGATAATGATTATTGTTTAAGATGTAAAAATCATTATTATTTTAATATTTTTTATTTTTTAAACATTCTTCTAATCTGAATAGATTTGACCTGAATGAATCTGAATGGATTTGAATATGATAAAAATATGCAATAAGTTGAAAAAGCACAACTTTTTTTTATGTAACATTACTTTTTTACTTTTTAAATATGTAAATAAATTGAATTTAAAATTATTGAAGAACACTGTGCAATAATTTTTTACTTTTTAAACACTCTTTTAATCTAAATAGATTTGACCTGAATGAATCTGATAAAAATATGCAATAAGTTGAAGAAGCACAACTTTTTTTTTATTTAACTTTACTTTTTTACTTTTTAAATATGTAAATAAATTGAATTTAAAATTATTGAAGAGCACGTGTAATAATAAGTTGATAACCCTACCTACCTACTTATCCCGATTCCCAAGCGGCGGAGTTCACGGAGGACGATTTTGCCATCGGCACTCCCCCTATATCTTCGATTCCACAGCGCAGCCCGCACAGAAATCGAAGCCACCATCTAAAAGATCTATAATCTCCCCGCGGCACGGTTGAATTCTCCGGTGGTCTCCTCTCTTTCTCCCACAGTCACCAACCCATGGCACCTGCTCCGGCGGTTTCCTTGCTGGCCAGCGCCGACGTCGCGTCTGTGAAAACATTCACCGGACGTTACGCCTCTGTTTACAGTGAAGTGCAGAACAGCCGCCTCGACCACCATCTCCCTCTCCCTTCCGTCCTCCGTAAACCTTTCAAAGTGGTCGACGGCCCCGCTAGCTCCGCTGCCGGCCACCCAGGTCACTCCCTTCTCCTTCTTTAGCATTTTGTTTCGGTATATCATTTCTGGATTTAGCATTGCCATTACAGATAGATCTTTGTACATTGGCGTATGAGGCGACATTGGATAGAGTTTTTTTTGCATTTCTCTGTGATTCAATCCATGTGATTTCACTGTTTGAGGGTTGGCATCTAGTGATTACAGGCCCAGTTTAACAATTCGGAGATGATCACATGTAAACAGTAGAAAAATTTAAATTTTATTAATTGTCTGTAAATTACTAGCAGATCTACAAATCACTACCCTTATGAATCCATGCAGTATACGGAGTTTTTACTAGTTCTTGTACCATCCAGTGAACAGGATTATTTTGAAAACATCTTATTGGTTACTTGTAATTGCATTCCAAAAGGACTTGGACGGACTTATAACGAGCTTGGCAAAAGAAATCTAGGTATTCAAGAGGAACAAGTAGGTTAGGTGATTATCTAGAATCCAGAAATCCAAAATAAGTTCAAGGCCAAGTGATCATAGGCCATTTGGCATAAATGTCATGATATTTCGATATCATGATAAGATTAAAGGCTTGCTCCTATGCCAATTGAGGGTTGCTCAACTTGGTCAATGGTCATCATGATTCATGCACATTATCAAACCTATATATATATATATATATATATATATATATATATATATCTTTAGTATTTCTATGTGGCAATCTTAAACATGAACATGAAGTTCCATGTATATTGTACTAAGACACATTTTGCATTATATCATCAACTTGGTTTTCTATCCATTATTCCGATAAGTGTATTTTATTCCTCACTACTCTTTCTGCATGGGCTGAGCTTTTAGTGAGCTTTTAACATTTGTAGTTTAACTAATGGACGGGCTTGGTATTTCAGAGGAGATTGCAAAGTTGTTTCCTTGCTTATATGGTCAACCATCAGCAGAATTGGTGCCAGACGATTCAGGAGATGTTGCAATGGGCCAGAGTTTGAAGATTGGAGTTGTTTTGTCCGGTGGTCAAGCACCTGGAGGGCATAATGTTATTTCTGGAATATTTGGTTAGATCATTAATAATTATTATGGAGTATTATAAATATTTACGATGTCATGATAGTGTTTTTACATTTTTTTTCACAGATTATTTGCAGGACCATTGCAAAGGAAGCACATTGTATGGATTCAGGGGTGGACCAGCTGGGATCATGAAGTGCAAGTATGTGGTGCTCACACCAGAATATATTTATCCATACAGAAACCAGGTAATATATTTTTTTAAAATTTTTTGTGTCTTGATTGTAATCTACCCCCCCCCCCCCCACCATCTTTATTGTCCTAGTTTCCTTTGTAGGTTGTTCTTTTTATTGCCCAATTTCCCTATGAAGTAATAATTGTGTAGTTTACATAATTTCTCTCTCCTCTGCATACATTTACACCACAATTTTTTAAGAACCTGGTGTAAAGTCAATTTAGGACACTAAAATAGGGATGGAGGGAGTAAGTTTTTGAGAAATTCAGTTGTGTTGTTAATGGTTCAGTACATGAACATCATCTATCCTGAAATGCTGAAAGAAGTTACTTATAGAAATTGAGAATAGGAATGTGAAATTATTTTATTCCTTGTCCTATATGAAATATTTACATCTGTGTAATTGTGTAAACTAAGGTGCATAGAAAGTGAAATTAAGGCACCTAGTTTTTACTGCTAAGGATTGCATTATGAATACGAGAATAATGTGAATTGAGTGCCAAAATTATGAGAAACTTATGTCTTCCAAGAATAATCTGGTTCATACTCTAATAAAATTCTTCTAGTAGCTGGTCCATGACAATTATAATTTTCTCCAGGGTGGGTTTGATATGATTTGCAGTGGGAGGGACAAGATTGAGACTCCAGAGCAGGTATTGTGAGATTTTGTTTGAAGTTTCATATTCATGTATTCGTCATATATGTGTTCCATTTTGGAGGAGAAGCGGGCTAACTGAAACTTCTTCCCAGTTTAAGCAAGCTGAAGAAACAGCACAAAAGCTTGATTTAGATGGGCTTGTTGTGATCGGTGGAGATGACTCAAATACAAATGCATGTCTTCTTGCAGAAAACTTTAGGTATGCTACAATGCAAAAGTAATTTTTTTTACTTGCCAGGATCTTCAGTAAGGCTAGCTTTGTACACATATAAACACTTAAAATCAGCTTTACTTACAAAATTTCATATACATATCAGGAGTAAAAATTTGAAAACCCGGGTGATTGGATGTCCAAAAACCATCGATGGTGATTTGAAATGCAAGGAGGTCCCCACAAGTTTTGGATTTGATACAGCATGCAAGGTAATTCTACCTACGATATCCACTTTTGTCATTTTTCATTGTTTAGTAAGGTGGAAGGTTAATATCAAGGAGACCATATTTTGGTACTTCAGTGCTCAGGAATTTTGACAGAACTCTAGCATTGTATGCTCATTAATGTAATTTCTCTCTTGGTGACACTTTATTGGTGCTAGCATTTGTAAAATTGGCTACAATTAAAGTTGTATCACTTGGTTATCCGGTGGTCATGGTTATGGTTGCACTCGTAATATACCCCACTAAGTTGTACAGATTATTATCCAAAGTTTGTAGCGCCTAGAATTTATTATTAAAACTCCGTAATGTTGTGTGTTCCTTTGTCTGTAGATATATGCTGAAATGATTGGGAATGTCATGATTGATGCTCGATCTTCAGGGAAATACTACCATTGTGAGTAGAGTAACCTAATCTTTCTTGCGTATTCCTGGTTCCTAATCTCATGCACTTATATATATGAGTTTCCACAATTTAGAAAAGGTGAATTGAGAAACAAATCTCATGATAATTGCTCTCTCCTCTCTCATCAAATGATCATAACATGTTATAGTAAGAATATGCAGCGTATGAATCTGGTATGGCATGTTAACATATAGTGGTTTGCAGTTGTAAGGCTTATGGGACGTGCTGCTTCACACATCACTTTAGAGTGTGCCTTACAAACACATCCAAACATCACTTTGATTGGTGAAGAGGTATTCCTTCCATGCTATTCCTTCATTATATTCAAAGCTTGTTTGGTTTACTTGTAATAAGTAGTAAGAATAAGTTGAAGAGAACAAGCTCCAAATCTTATTGTTGCAAACTACATGTATATGCTATTTGCTTCACAACCCTAATGCATGCAGGTTTTTGAAAAGAAACAAACTCTGAAAAATGTCACCGACTACATTGCCAATGTGATCTCCAAGCGTGCAGAACTGGGACACAATTATGGTGTCATATTGATACCCGAAGGCCTTATTGATTTCATTCCTGAGGTAAAACCATTGATTTGCAAGTGTATAAATATGATGGAAAAAAATTATGCTTTGGGAATTAATATAACCAACACTGTTCCCATTTATCTGTTGATCACTTTTTTAAGAGAGCTTTACTGGTAAAATATATCAAGTTTGGTTTATCTACCACCCCATTTTCTGAAATTATATGATTTGGTCAATGTAGAGAGATAAATAGGAACAAATGGAATACATTGTTTGGCTAACTGTGGAATTAATAAGGAAAAAGTGCAGCCAGATGCACAAAGCATCTCGCTGAAAAAGGGTTCAGGAAAGGTCCCACCAAGATGTGATTTAGGCAAATCTTATCTTGCATTTTTGCAAGAAAATGTTTCTATGATTCAAATTCGTGAGCTGTATTTTGGTCAAAACGTAAGTGTATAATTATTCATATTTTTATTTTATGAGGGGTATTTAGGTTTAAACATGTTCACTCCTTTTTCATATTGCCTAAGGAGTGCTATGATTTTGTTTGTTTTCTTCATATTGCCTAATGAAGTCTTCCAAGGAAGATCAATTTGTAACCAACCAAAGAGTAGAAACTTTTTTTCCTGTGAACAAACAAGGAAATTAAAAGTCTCTCTCGAACCAAATTACTCGTTAATTTTTTTTTGCGTTTAAGATGATGGTGGACATTTTTTCTTATTCAAACGGTGTTATTTCCTTTTTTGCAGGTTCAGCAGCTTATTGGGGAACTGAATGAAATTTTGGCTCATGATATTGTAGACGACGCTGGTGTTTGGAAAAAGAAGCTGACCCCACAATGCCTTCAGCTATTTGAGCTATTGCCTCATGCTATTCAGGATCAATTGCTTCTTGAGAGAGATCCACATGGCAATGTTCAGGTGTTTAAACTTATTGTGTCTCCCTGTGTCCTAATTAAAATATGGAGTATGAAATTAAGTTTAAGAATGAGCTCATCTGGTCACCCCACCCTCTTCCATCCACCACCCCCGGTCTTGCAGGTTGCCAAAATAGAAACAGAAAAAATGCTTATTCAAATGGTTGAAACAGAGTTGGAGTTGAGAAAGAAGAGTGGTTCATATAATGGTCAATTCAAGGGACAGTCCCACTTTTTCGGGTAATTTCGTATTCAAGTGTGGATATGCCAAACTCATTGCTCTATCCCAATGTGATCTGCACCCTTTGGATCCAAATTTAAAATGACCTAATGATTTAAACCTCAGTTATGAAGGAAGGTGTGGCTTACCATCAAATTTTGATGCAACATACTGTTATGCATTGGGGTATGGTGCCGGGGCACTACTTCAGAGTGGGAAGACGGGATTGATATCATCCGTTGGAAACTTAGCTGCTTCAGTTTCAGATTGGACTGTGGGTGGAACTGCACTAACTGCATTGATGGATGTTGAGAGAAGACACGGTAAAAAATTGCTATTGTGAAGTTTGTTATTACTGGATGGAATTTATTTACTTACTCCGGGGTATATCACTTTCCATTCATACTGATTTAAATTTGCAGGTAAATTCAAGCCTGTGATAAAGAAAGCAATGGTGGAGCTTGAAGGTAAAATAGTTGCTTTGTTCTTCACAAGAAACAACTTTGTACGGACACATCACTAACTTAATGTGGGATATGAAAAATTTTAGGTGCTCCATTCAAGAAATTTGCGTCATCTCGAGATGAATGGGCCCTAAAGAACTGCTACTTGAGTCCAGGTATGTGTTCATTTCTTTTAGCCAAGGAAAATGAATCACAATCCGTATGGTATTCATATTTCTCTCAATCTGAATGTGAGCAGAATGAATAGCTTCAGACTTAGACTAGAAATAAAAAGTATGCCTACCAAATGCTTTTGAGCCTTTTCCAATTTGAGCCTTAACCAAATATTTTCTTGATGGGTTAATCCACCGGAAAATAAGAACAATAATCTAGATTGTATGAATATATGAGAAACAAAACTGTATATTGCCCTTCAAGTGCTAAGAGTGGCATCCCCCTCCAGGACCGGAAGGCGAGTATTTATAGCACAACTATAGGCAGTTGTGATCCACAATTAGTGGTGCTAATCACAGAACATGATTAGCACGTACTTAACCTAGGCAGGAAGCCTCCCTCTCTATGACCTAGCCTCACCCACAATCTGTCTCCACCCGTCGGATGGGCCTCGTTTCCGGGTTGCAACACCCCACAGACTCATATCATGTGGGCTTCTGCCTCACTTCTGGGTCGGGCTACTGCATCCTTTCTCGTGTGGGCTTCTTGGGTGGGTCAGGCCAAGTATTCTGGGCCTAACTACTATTAAATACTAATCAATGGGCTAGGCATATTGGGGCAAGTCCTAATTACCCATCAGCCCTCGATCTCATGAATTCTAACACGATTCCCGTTCTTTTTCAATGTAGGTCCAATTCAATTTGTTGGTCCGGTAGCTGATAGAGTAAACCACACATTGCTTTTGGAGCTTGGGGCTTAATCATAAGTGGACAGAAATGGCAGAGAGAATCCATCCGTTGGTCCAATGGACAATTGCTCTCTTTCTGTCATAATCTGCATGTGTACTTTTTTTTCTTGAACACTATTAATTTCTTTCTTTGAGTTCTGTGCCATTTCTTTGAGTTGAACACTATTAGTTACAGAGTACTTTCTCTCAAACCTTTTCCCAATTCGGAAAATAAATAAAGTTCTTCCATAATTTTTTTTTCTGAAGTTCTCAAGTCATTTTTACAATGTTTTTCTAGTGTTGCTGTCTGATCACTTTAGTTAACTATAGTTCCCTTACTCATCATTCACCAAAATCTTTTGACCCAAATTGGAGACACGATATACAGATCCAAAATAATTTAAATAAAATAATTAACACCTTTTTATATTTTTTCAATTACTCAAATAGTTTAAACTCATGAGAACATAATCAGTAAAACTCCATACAGACTCATATTTCTAATGAAGGAATACTCCTGTAGATATAAAATCACTCTTTTCTCTTTAGTGACAATATGAAGATTGCAAATAATGTGGGCATAATATGAGATTTAAATAAGAGTAAATTTCATAATTGGTCCTTTATATCATAGGAGTTGCCATATTTAGTCCTTTATTATCAAATATTACCCTCGTAGTCCTTTTTTTAAGGGTATTTTTTCACAAATGGTCCTTTTTTTATCTTCTGTCGTGTTGGTGTTAATTTAAAGGCTAAAAGTATAATTTGACATCAACATTATGTCTAGTGACGTGTTCTGATATTGGTTAAGCGGATAACACAAAAATAATGACTATGATTGTGGGCTAGGATTCTGACGACAGATCACATTTGTAGACTATTGTTGTCGTACAAAGCGACTGTAATTCACAAACGACGCAAACGGAACAGCCTTTGGAATTGTATATGACAAAAAAGATATATTATCATTGTGAAATTACACTTTTAGCCCTCAAATTAACACCAACATGATAGAAGATCAAAAAAAGAACTATTTGAGGAAAGGTACCAATAAAGGAAGGACCAGTGTGATAATATTTGATAATAGAAGACTAAATAGGGAAACCCCCCTATTATAAAGGACCAATTATAGAATTTACTCTTTAAATAATATTTTAGGCGGTACTAAAAACAAGAGCACATCTTTGTTTCCCTTTAATTGTGTGCATTAATCTAAGATTTAAATGATACTAGTGTTTACCCCGTGCTTCGCACGGGCTCGTATATATTCTTATTTTTTGAGATTTTATAAATATAATTTTAGTTGTNTTAGTTTCTAATAGTGACAAAAAATGTTTTAGACTGATGGAACATACAGAGTATATTGGTATGTTAATTTTAAAAAACAATTTTACAAAATTAATAATCATTGAATTAAGTACTAAATAGAAATGGTTTGAATTAATAAAATATTATAATAAAAAGTGGATCAGTTACATGCATAATGATACATCATTAGAGAATATATATGTATCATAATGTCATTTGTCAGTTGTCACCCTTTAAATTTATACAATCATTTTTCGAGAAGTAATAAACTAAAATAAGTCGTGGATAGTATAAAAATAATTTTATGTGTGTGTACTCAAAATACGAAGTTTATTTTACAATGATGAAATATATATTCAGAATTATTAAAGAATGAAAAATTTTATACAAATCTATTAAAAGATATTTAAAATAGGTGCAATGCATATATCCACTTCATAAATGGGTGCACATGTGGATGCACAGGTGGCATGCCACATGTCAACATTGCAACAACTAAACTCTCTTTTACATATATATATAGGATATAGGATTCTACACAACACTAAAAACAAAATGATCTCAACAATTTTAAAAGTAAAAATAGTCAAATTGTAAATTTTGTGACTTTAGCTTTACATGTTTCATGCTCACTCAATCCGAAAATAAGATTCTTATTTTGAATTGTAATAGTTTATAGACATTATTTTCAATAATATTGAATTTATGAATAAATTATTTATATATCAAAATATTACGTCCAAAGTCATACAAATTACAAATAGGTCGCTACAAAAATATTTCATGTAATTTAATAAAAGTGAAATTTATTTTGAGACAATAATAAATACTCCTTAAAAAAAACTCTCCTTAAACCGAATAGCCGCAGTTCATCAAGTCGAACGAAACACGCTCTAAAGAAGCTGCAGAAAGCAAGCAGCAAACACAGAAAAACACTGAAGGCATATATCACTTTAGAAACTAAGCACGAAAGCTCTTCTCCGCGGCGTCAATGGCGTGTCTCTCCAGAATGCTCCGCTGTAGCCGTGCGATCTCCTCCCTCAAAACCCTAGCCTCCTCCGCTCCCCGTCTTCGTCCCACACCCTTCAATCGTACTATCTCTCTCGCCAAATGAATTTTCGCATAATTCTCACAAATGACATGTTTTTCCTAATGATGTTTTCTCATATACTCCGTATTTTCCTAGTTTGCGTTCATTAATGAGATGGTTCTTACATTTCTCAGTGTTTGGCTATCGATTGAGCTTTATGTGATGTCTTGAAGTTCATGTCTGATAATTTTCCTGTTTGATTAATCTCACAAAGAACCCGTTTTTTCTCCTATTTGGAACGAAAGGATTATGGTTTTTAAAATCAATCTGAGCGATTTAGGAATGGGGAGTGTAGGCGCTTCTTGATGGACTTCTTAAACCTTTTTTATACTCCCATTTTAGTTTATTTACATTCTCTTTAGCTCAGGTTTGGGGGAATAGCTATTAGGTATGGCAATGTTTGGATAATGTCTGTTTATAGAAGGGAAATACTCCGTATGCTTATACTTCACATCCAACTTTATGAGCAGTGATTGAAAACAAAATTCATTTTTAAACATCGGTTGATATACTTGCTTATGTTTTTATTATCTGTAAGTTTATGGAGCTTGCTTTTCTTTTAACCTGGGTTTGTGACCCCGAGGAAACAAGAACCAAGGTCATTGGCCTAGTGTTTCATTCCACTTCAGAACCACCTATTTTTATTTGCAACCCATTCTTGCAATTCTATAGACATGCCATGCCGGCTTTGCAGTATAGGTTGTGCAACTTGTTATATTCTTTGTAAACTCTACTTTGGAATGGTTATGATTTTTTTTATTGATCATGGATACTTATTTGCTTATAGTGCTCGATACATATCATGCATGTGCTTCATAATTTGCAGGACCTTTTGTGCATCATTTACACAGCTCTGCATACCAAAGTTCACAATCAGGATCATTCCATGGGCTTTTGATTCCAGCTGTCTTAGCTGGAGTGTTTGGAGTTGGATTGGTAGATGTAGCATCTGCAGATTCCAATGAGGTTTGTTTGCATGAATGTTTCTGTTTATAATTAACTTGTTCAATACTCTTTGATTAACCACTAAAAAGGTTTCAGTTAACGTTAGTTCCAGTGGAATATAAATGTACTACTGAATGTCTAAACCCAATTATTCATTGTAAGCTTTTTTATATACAGTTGTTGACTGGATGCATTTTATAGGTGTTTATCCGTGTGCATTTTATGTCCATTAAGTTGATATGATAAATTCATTTTCTAATGAAACTTATACTTTTCAGACCAGTAAAGGAACTCCCTTTCCATCTGAATCCCCTCCTGCATTAAGACATAATGACTTGGAGGAACTTGCCATGAAAGAGAAGAATCGCCTTGGGGAGTTGATTAAGACCAAAGGAATGCTAGTTGGCACTTACCCTCGTTATACTGTTTCAGTCAAAGGTCAAAAGGTCTTCTCCTTCCCTTCTTTGATCTCTGTTCTCTTGAAAAAGTGCTAGTGGATGAACTAAAATCAACAAACTTTTATTTATATGTTGCACTTGAGTATGCATTTAAGCTAATTTCTCCACCATTTCAGGTTGCAATCAAGTTCCAAGTGCCCCAGACGTGTGAAATACCAGTTCTACTGTCAAAGCTTGTTTCACGCCTTGGTGTTAAACTTGAAGACAATGGGTCTGGATCAGATATGACATTGCGGGCCTGGGAAAGGTAACCAGACCACTCTTTTCTTGTGATATTTACATTCTTTATTCTGTCATTATTGCGCTTTAAGTCTTTTATTATATTTCTTGAATGTACCTATATCCAAGATTCCAAGCAACATTATTCGGCATCAATTTGGTTTTTAAAAACTTTTACATTTATCTATTCTTGCTGCAGTGGGATTGCCTGGCAACTGATGCTTAACCGGCCAAAGAAACAAAATGAAGCTGTCAGAATTGAAGGAGAAGGAAAGGGCAGAAATGCTGATGATGGTCTATGCGTTCTCTTTTTTCGTCCAGTCATCACTGCAGACAGAGCTGTTAGTTCCCACCCTATGCAGTTGATTACATTACATGATCATCTATGGATATGATCTATTTGATATTTTTAAAATTTATAGCAGATGTGTTATGTCTTATTGTGCTTTTATTTAGGAAATTGAGTTCATGAAACCGGGCAGCTTTACACCTGAGGAGCTCGATACCCTAGTATCTTTATTACAGTTAGCAGGACAACCAAGAGCTATCAAAACTAGACCAAGTGGAGATGCTGGCAATGTTGTTTCTCCAAATAAAACCGTTTCACATCTGGAAGCTATGGGAGTCAAGATTTTTGGAATTAATGAGTTGAGTGCTGATACAACAAAGGCTGATATTTCTTGGGAAAGTATTGCGGGATATAGCCATCAAAAGCGGTAATGTAGTAGTACACATTGTTAGCCGAGTCAGCGTTTTGTTTGTAGACAACGGAGAACTCGCCATGTGGTTTCGCCTAAAAATGTTTTTTGAAAATGACCTTACATTAGTTTGAAATAACTCTTCGCCCCAAGAGATGACAATGGGAAGATTTTAAGTGTATCAGTTCATATTTATTTCACATAACAAGGGTTTAGTTCCCAATTTTCTCTTATCTAAAAAAGGTTGAAATTTTAGTGTCTTTGCAATATTTGTTCCAAGGTTTCCTGTATGTTCCATCATTACATCTACTCACAAGCATAGCATGTGGGCTTTCTCTTGACATGTTATACTTACAGAGAGATAGAAGATACCATACTATTGGCTCTGCAGAGCCCTGAAGTATATGACGATATTGCTCGCGGGACAAGATGCAAGTTCGAGTCAAATAGGCCTCGAGCAGTTCTGTTTGAAGGTCCACCAGGTATGACCCCCATCCTCTACTCCGATGACACTGTTTTGTTCTTTTAAAAGTGACATGCATAGCTCCTAGGTTAACATGTAGTCTTTGGTTTTGTTCAGATTAAAAAACAAACATGTTAAACCTGAAAGTGGAAGAATTTGAAACTTAAAAGATGTTACACCTGTTCATCTCTAGTTCTGGTATTACCACTTTTAGTCATGCCAAAGCCAACTTGTCCAACACTTATGTCACACCTCTGGTTCCAGGTACAGGAAAGACATCTTGTGCTCGAGTCATTGCTCAACAAGCGGTATGGTTTGTCATGTTTCTTTGATTGGGTTGTTTATGCTTGCTATTTAAGTTTTTTTTGGTGGAAACTACACATAATCTCTCTTTGGCCTTTTTGCTTGTATTTGTGTTTGGATGTGGGTAGTCTGCGACTCTGTGTGATAATCCATTATCTCCCCTTTCCCCTCACTAAATTAATGCAATTATTAAATCTCTAGATCATCCACTACTAAGTAGTTGATCAAGTGAGGTTTAATAGAACTCATAATTGGGCCAAGGTCACTCTACCGGGCTGTAATGTGCATTCATCTAATCACATTAAAAGATAACCTAACATTAGCTAGTCTAACCCATGGAATTATAACCCCCCCCCCCCTCTCCCTCTAATTTTTTGGTGTTGGATTCTTAACAGCCTTCTCACATTTTAAAGTGCCAGTAGCAGCAGAAAAGAATGAGTAAGACATGAAGAAGGGGAGAGTGTTATTTTGAGATAGATATTATACTCCATTCGTTAGAAACAAGATTTTGGGGTATAATGAACTTTCTAGGGTATAAGATTTTGGGTTGTGTCTTCCCACCATTGAGGACTTGAGGTGTAAGTTATTGAAAATGATTTAATTAATAGGGATCACAAGTGTAATATTTTTATTCTCATTGTTACTTAGAATGATTAGTGTGCGTTATTATGTGGCAGGGTGTCCCACTGTTGTACGTTCCCTTGGAGGTCATTGTGTCAAAATATTATGGTGAAAGTGAACGTTTATTGGGTAAGGTGTTTTCCTTGGCAAATGAGCTCCCAAATGGAGCAATCGTGTTCCTAGATGAGGTAAAATTTTCACCAAAAAAATTGTAACTTGCAACATGCAGAATAAAGCCTGAACATATCTTCTGTCCTTTCAAGGCCTTAATGTTTTTTCATCTATTTTTGTATGTGTGAAGGTTGATTCTTTTGCTACTGCTCGTGATGGTGAAACCCATGAGGCAACCCGCCGAATGTTATCAGTGTTATTACGACAGGTGCCACTATATACAAATACCACCATATTAACTTTTCTATGCAGTACTTTCTATGAAATACTGCACTGTCTGGGCTTACTGCTTTCTGAATTAGGGTATTAGGCTGTTATTAAAAGCCTGTTTTGTAAATTCCTTTTTTTGGCTAATCCGCCTGATGAGTCAGATCTTCACCAATAATGAAAATAATAGTCAATGATTACTTTTTTTTTATGGATGACTAATATTATAGGAAATGATATTTCGACATCTATTGTCTAGATTTTATTTTCAATTTTTTTAAATATTTTTTGAACATTGTTTTTAGATAACTCACCAAATGTAGCCAGTTCTGCGTGCCTTACAAAAGGGATGATGATTTTAGATTTTACACCATCACAATACTCGTATAAAAATGTTTGATTGGTGCTCTAATTCCTAGTGGTGTTTCCTATGCATGGTCTTAAGGCTCACGCTTTATGTGCAGATTGATGGATTTGAGCAGGAGAAGAAAGTTGTAGTTGTTGCTGCAACAAATAGGAAAGAAGACCTTGATCCTGCTTTGATTAGGTCTCTTGATGAATATAAATCATTTATATATCATATATACATTACTACTATCTCTAAACTTCAGTTCATTCCACAGCCGATTTGATGCCCTGATTACCTTCCCCCTACCGGATCAGCAAACCCGCCAGGAAATAGGAGCACAATATGCAAAGCACTTGACAGAATCAGAATTGTCCGAATTTGCCAAAGCCACTGAAGGGTAATTATAAATTACACACATTCAAATGTGGGAATAAATAACCTGAATATGAAGAACAAATAAACTCTGAACCGACCAAAACTGACCCAACCATATGGTTTCATTACTGGTTTATGGTTTACACTCTACAAACTGACCAAAAATGACAATTGAAAACCGGCTTAAGTTGTTAAAGAACGGTTTTTGGTTTGCATTCTTCCTTGTTGTATGCTTACACTGCTTGGATTCATTTAACACCAGATTTTCTGGGAGGGATATAAGGGATGTTTGCCAGCAAGCAGAGAGGCATTGGGCATCAAAGGTATCATCTGACCACTCATCTATATGACTAGAATTGTACCTTACCAGTATTTAAAAGTAATAGTACTTAAGTAAAACAAAGACAGGTTATTTGGACTTAGAGCTTGTTTTCTTCAACTTATTCTTTTTATTTACTTCTCATTCTTATTAAAATCAGATCAGATTAGAAGCAACTTTAAATATAACTACAATCAGACCAGATCAGAAATTAATCAAATCAAATGAGAACCAATCAGATTATTTTAAGAGAACAAGCCCTAAATCTGTAGTAATTGCTAAGGTTTGAACTGATTCAGTATATGTCTTGTATGGCTTCACAGATAATAAGAGGTCAAACTCAGAAAGATGAAAAGTGTCCGCTGCCGCCTATTCAAGAATACACACAGAGTGCCGAGACCAGGCAAAGAGCCTTGATTGGTTTGAACCAACGAGAGGCGGTGCGAAGGAGGAAACCTCAATTTGATTTTGAATAAGTGTTTTTTTCCTCAGTAAAACTGGCTAGTATAGTGAGTCCATATAAAAAATGTGTATGCAACATTCCTTATGCCTAGTAGTAGCTTACATATAGCAATTCATTAGTTATTACTCGTATTTATTAAAGGCTTTAATTGCACTCTTCATCCATTTTATTGAATATTGATCATGAGATAGATCCATAGTATAAAGACCTCTCCGTGTAAATTGTCGCGTAGGAATGCATTATGGACATCCATTTGATTCATTTCTCACCCTTTTGCCACAACGAGAAGAAAACGATGTACACTTACCATTTTGGCAAATGAAGAAAATGTCTCGTTAAAATTGAAGCCTTCAGTCTCCTCATCCCCTTTTGTAACAAGACGTGTCGTATACTTCAACCGTGGTGCCAGTTGACCTTAGAAGTACTCGTCACACGTCATATCATTTCTATTATGAAGTACGGAGTATCACATTACTTATTTAAAAAAATTTAAAATGTTGCCAACGAAATTTGATTTATTGACATCTTGAAGAATGCAAGTTATGACATAATCGGATGTACAGGAAGAACTGTATAGCCGGTGATAATTTGTGCTATTGTGAAAGAAGAGCGGATTGATAAACTGAAACTTTAGGTGCGAAGAAGAGTGTCGCGACGTCGAGTGCAGAGAGAGAAGTTGGTGGAAGAAGCTAACCGATTGGTGCTAAGTTCCGCAGCGACACTGGAAAATTCAAAAATTGCACAAGCTAAGTGAGAGTTGGTGGAAGATGATAATTATAAAGGTGAATTTAGGAGTAGCCGCGAGTATTTTAAAAGAATATTATGTTATCCGTAAATAAATATTTTATATAATTGTAATGAACATTATATTTTTCTTGTGACAATTAATGTTATTATTTCAGACAAATAAGTATTTGATTGATATAGAATGAAAATTAAAAATATTCAAAATGAATATTCTATTCTATTTTCTATCACTTAAAAATAAGGTACAAATTTATTTTTTTAAAAAAAAAAGTGTAAAAATTTCCCGGTAGTATTGGTTGGATGCTCCTTGGGTTGCTGCAGTCACGCACACAAAGGCTGCAAGTCAAGCAAGCGTCCGGGAAACTACTACACAGCCGCCACCGCAAGACCGCCATGGAGGAGGAGGGGGAGTGGTGTCTCCGAAGAGGGCAATACCTTGGCGAAATCTCCGCACTGTGTTTTCTCCACCTTCCTCCTCACCTCTCTTCTCTGCCCTATCTTCTTGCCGGTTCTTTTCCTCTTCCGTCTCTTTCTTTTTCACCTAATATCAGCTGCTATAAGCTTTTCGGCTGCAAAGTTCATTCCTTTTTGGTTTTCTTTTGCACATTCAGGAACTGGATCTGAGCTTGCTGTCTACGATTTGGGCAGCGGGCTCAGAACAATTTCCTTCCAAGTTTTCGACGGCATTCGAGTGCATGGAATTTCTCTGGGGTCTTGCGGCGATATGCCGTCTGACTCCACCGCCGCCGCCTTCAGGGTTTCTGTTTTCGGAGAAAGAAGAGTTAAATTATTCGATTTGATTATCACTTCCAGCATTCATTCGGGGGAATCTCTTCAATTTTCATTAACGCCAATTCAGACGGTGCCAAGACTTAGCCACTGGGTTTTGGACGTTGTCTTCCTCTCCTTCAATGTAAGTGTAACCCATCTTATAGCCATTGGGTTTTTGTTTTTCAGATACTAGCAAAATACAACGAGTGCATTTTTTTCTCTTACAAACATTGCTTCTCTCTGTTTTCTTCTTCTTTTTTTTTTGTCATAGGAGCAGGGGGAGTATGGTCTTGCAATTGGGTGCAGTGACAATTCTCTTTATTTCTGGGACATTTTGAGATGTAAGGTGCTTTGTCAAATAAGCTGTTCAGGTTGGTTCATTTAAGGTTCTTTTATTGAGTGAACTAAACTATATGTAAGCATTGTACATTTATCCTCATATATAATAATATGAACTACCATTTATGCATTTGTTATCTTATAAGTTGGATGGAGAGTTTACTTGCTTATATTTTTTTAGAGAGGTGTCTGCTATACTCTATGCGTATCTGGGGGAAGGAAGCTGATTCTCTCCGTGTTGCATCCGGTACAATTTTTAATGAGGTAACTGACATGTACCTCCCTACTAGCATACCAGTACAGGATTGGATACTTTTAAAAAAATATGAGCATGTAATCTTGGTATGTGAAAATGTGCATATTTGATTAGCTTTGCTCATGAATAAATTGAACACAGGAACCCATCATCTCATCTCTTCCTGAAATTTGACATGCAGGCTTCTGACATCCTCATCAACTAAAAAGGTTGGGGCCTGTTGGTTGAAACTTGTATGTTGCTTGTAATTCCTTTTGCCAATTCTTGCAAGTTCCATTAGTCCTTATCGATCTGGAAACTTACTAAAAGAAACATAGGAAAAAAACACCACATAATGTGTCATTTGGCTTGCATATTACCCTTTCTGCACTCGTTGCATGCCTCATGATTATAGATGGCCCAAGGTGAACATCAGTGACCCTTTGTGCTAGGAATTTATAGAAATTAATTTCTTCAGCATAATTGAATTCTTCCTTTTCAATAATTTGGAACGCATGATTGTCATTTGGCAGGTTATTGTGTGGAAATTGGATTGCAAGACTGATGTTTGTGCTGTTGGCGGTACTGCTGTAGATCATGTAGACCTAGTTAATGAAAAGGGCAATGTGTTTCCTATTCTGGAATATGAAGCTATTAATTTACACCGGTTGACTGGACATGAAGGATCAATTTTTCGCCTTGCTTGGTCCCCAGACGGATCAAAAATAGTATCTGTTTCTGATGATAGAAGGTAGGCGACTGTTGTCTTCTCATGTCGAGTGTCTAATAAAGCACAGTGCAATTTTATGTATAGGGTTCTAATTCCTGGGTGCTGCAGTGCTCGTGTTTGGGCACTTGGGGAGTGCAAGTCTTTGCACAATCTTGCAGGGGGTCCCATTCAATGCCTCAGCTCTACTCTTTTTGGTCACACTGCCAGGGTTTGGGATTGCTGTATTTTTGACTCTGTAAGTTTCGGAAATACTTTATGTACTACACTTGAATCCGGCGTAAAACTTTGCTACAATGGTTTTCTGCATATTTTTGGTGTTAACTAATTTTAGAACAGTAATAGCCGCTAAATTGCATGCCCCTGTGTTCAATATAGCTGGGACGACAGTGATGAAGACCCCTCATTATGATTCCTTATTCATCATGATTTTTTTCTGAATTATGACCCTTGCTCTCCACTTGGGGGACTCTGTTCAGTTGATTGTTACAGCTGGCGAGGACTGTACATGTCGTGTATGGGGACTGGATGGCACACAACTTGGTTTGATCAAAGAGCACATGTAAGTTACACAACACACTCGCTATGTGAACTGGAATGTGTTTTTTTAAAATTGAATTTTAATGAAGACTGCTTGTTCAATTTCACATTTGGTGGCCCTTTTATTGATATCTTGTCAGCTTGTTGAGTATCAAAACATCCAATTGCAGCTTTGTGTCTTGACATGCTTACATGGCCAGTATCTTCTAGCTTACCACCATTTTATTATGCAGCGGACGGGGAATATGGCGGTGTGCCTATGATCCTAGTTTTGCATTGCTTGTTACAGTGGGATTTGATTCTTCCATAAAGGTTCACCAGCTGCATGCATCTCCTGAATGTTTGGGCAAAATTGTTGGAGAAATGGAATTGTCATTTTATGAACCGGAGGCCTTTAGAATTTCTATCCCAAATTCAAACAAACATATCAGCCATATGGATAGGTAGTGGTGTGCCTATGAAATACATTGTTTAAGCTTGGCATAAATTTCTTCCTTGACTTTGAGTTTTTATTTTTATTTTTGTCATCATAGTTTAGGCTATTTTAGTAGCTTCTGCACGACCTTCTGATGATTTGGTTGTGGTTCTTCCTTGTTTTTTGCAAACAATTTTTATTTGCATTCATTTATTCACAAATATATCACCATCATCTCATCAGATTGCAAGTGTTAACTGGCTCCTGTTTTGGGGGTGAATATGTTTGTTGTTTGCAGCAAGAGTGAATATGTTCGTTGTTTGCATTTTTCACGTGAAGATTCTCTTTATATTGCCACAAACAGTGGCTACGTATACCATGCTAAACTATGTCGTACAGGGCATGTTAGTTGGACAAACCTTTTTCACATTGGGGAGGATGCACCAATAATTTGTATGGACATTCTATCAAATGGGTCTGATCCTTGTGGAACTGACGATTGGGTTGCTGTGGGAGATGGTAAAGGTAGAATGATGATTGCCCACATTGCTGGTGATGTTTTTAGCCCTAAAGTAGATCATCATTCTCTAACCTGGTCTGCTGAAATTGAGAGACAGCTTTTGGGGACTAACTGGTGCAAGTCTCTGGGATTTAGGTACTCAATCTTTCTAAGTTTATAAGGATGTTGATTAATGTCCATAGGCGTTTAAAGCTTGAAAATCTCTTAGGAAGAAAGGCCATGTAGGTAATATCCTATTTCTCCGTGTAAAAACACTGCTTCTCCGACCCATTATAAGAGTATGTTCAATCATGCTAGAAAAGGGATAGGAAGATCTGCTCATGTTTTTCGTATATAGCTGTGATTTTAATAGGTACGTCCAAAAAGCACGTTCAAGGTTACTGACTTTCAAGTAATGAAAGCAATACCCATCCATGATTACCAACTTTCAGCCATTAGACTCAAAATAAAGCAGTTATAATTATTCTATCCTGCAACTAATGAAATATTTGAACATTTATGGTTCATTTATAAAAATAAAAACAGAGGTGTATATATCATATAGGTTCATCTTCACTGTGGATCCTAGAGGGAGGTTGAAGCTTTGGAGGGTATGTAACTCTCTGTCTTCTGCTTCTCATGTGGAGGCAGCTTATCATCCAGAATTGGTTTACGAATTTGTCTCTTGTTTCGGAATGCGGATCATTTGCTTGGATGCATCACTGAAGGATGAGGTTATTGCCAATTATTTGTTCTCTATTCAGTAATTTTCCAAGTCTATTTACCTCTTAGCTGTTTCAATCAAGTAAAAAACTATAGCGATAATGAATCATATCATAAGAGAAAAGGTTGTCCATTACCAATGGAGCTAAAAGAGTCATTATTGACCATGTTTTAGATTTGGGCAAATACAACAAGGTTTAATGGAAACATCGTCTGGTTTTTTCAGGGGTAAGACTTCATAGATCTTGACCCTAAGACCCCAACGGAGTTGGAATTATACTGGGTTTCTTGTTTCTGTTGCCTTTTAGGTTTAATACCAACTACCAAGACAAGACTCATTATTGTTGTTTTCTTTTGATATTAAGGGTTTTCATACTATACATAATGCTCAAATCAGTTTAATGTATCTCATATCTACTTATATACAGGTGCTAGTGTGTGGGGATATCCGTGGAAATGTTTTGCTGTTCCCTTTTAAAGAGAATGTACTATATACCACTCCTATACCTTTAGAAGAGAAAGTTTCTCCACAGGCTTATTTCAAAGGAGCTCATGGAATATCAACAGTGTGTAGCATTTCAATTGCTGGATCTGTTCCTAGTCAACTTGATCTACATTCTGTAAGACTCTCTTATTTAAGATCTATTGTTTTCCATTTGTAATTTCTTTATGTATAATGATGATTCGTACTAAGGTTTTATTTCACTACTAGAACATTTCTGCAGTTTAAATTTTACTGCATTGTCTACTGTACATTTATGTGTTTCTATGGCTTCCAGAGTGGGGGAGATGGATGCATCTGCTACTTTGAATATGACAGGAATCGAAAGAAATTGGAATTTACAGGAATTGAGCAAGTGAAAGAACTGAGCACTGTACATTCCGTCTACTCCAGTGCCAACTATAATGACAATATGCCAAGGGGTAGCTATGCTATAGGGTTTGCATCTTCGGAGTTTATAATTTGGAATTTAAGTTCTGAAAGAAAGGTAACATCCCCCTTCCTCTCACCCCAACATGTAGTTTTTTCTTCTGTAACTTGTATTATGTGTGTATTGGAACAGGTTTTACAAGTATCATGTGGTGGATGGCGGCGGCCTCATTCTTATTATCTTGGCCATTCTCCTGAGATGAAGAATTGCTTTGCTTTTGTGAAGGTTCTTCTGTTTCAGTGCTCTACTTGTTCATGTTCTGTTGAGGGATTTGAACTAGGATAGAAGATGATTCTTTGTTCTGGGTTTCTCTCTAGTGCCTAGAACTGGCTAGAAGAAGTAGGCTACACTGTATGATGTATGTGTGTCACGATTATCTTTGTTGAATAAGAGAGGGATGTGTAGAAAGAGGTCGACAAATGTTTCACTTGAGAGGAAATGGGCACAACAGATATATATATATATATATATATATGTATGTATATATATATATATATATATGCATATAAAACCACCCTTGGACTCTTGAACTAGTTTTGCAGGGACATAGCAAGTGGATGTCTGCCCAACTTTTGATACCTCTAGCAAGTTCTTATTTGTTCTTCTTTGTACGAGAGCATTTGTGTTTAATGCTTGTGATTGCTTTACATGTGCCCATGCTTAACAGCCTGGACTATAACATGGCATTGGCTTTTGCAGGATGGAATCATTAATATTCAAAGGTACTGGGTGACAGAGAATGAAAGGAAGATGTACCCAAAAAATTTGCATTTGCAATTCCATGGGAGGGAGATACATTCATTATGCTTTATTCAGCCATCTTGCAGTCCAAATGGAAAGGGGTGTTACTCTTTTGAGTCTAGCTGGATTGCAACAGGTTGTGAAGATGGAACTGTGCGATTGACAAGGTGCAATAGCTCTGTTTGTCTTTTTTAAGCCGTATTTGTTTACCTTGAGTAAATTTGCTGCCTCGAATTTTTATCATACTTGGAAGTCATACTCCTTGTGTCCCAGTTTAGTGTTTTCCTTTCTGCTCCGTCCCAATTCATTTTCTCTCTCGTTGCATAATGCATACATCAACACATGTTTTTCACTTTCTTAATCTCTGTGCGGTCAAAGTGAGCAACATAAACTGGGACCGATAAACAAATATTTTATGATTCTTGCAATGTTGTGTTTGTGTATTTTAACCGTCGTTTTCAGTTTCAATGAAATCCTTTTTGGAGATCAATGTTTGAAGGCCATCTGCTTATAAGTTTAACCCGTTTAACCCGCGGAATACCACCCCTAGAAATAAAATTTAAGTCAAGTTTGTTAAAGGGCGTGTTACCTTCTTATACGTTTTAAAGTATCAATTACTGCAGTTGAAATATGAAATAATTCTTCAGCTCCACTAAGTTTGAGATATGGATTGTTGGCACGCATATTAAGAAAAAGTGGAATTGTGTGGTTGATATTGAATATGTAAATTATGGATGGTTTTGGTCCACACAAATATAACAAATTTGGGATGGGATAAAAATGATAAAAAAGAGACAAAAATAGGGGGAAGGGCCGAAGGGTGGAGTATGTCATAGCTTTTGTTATAGGTCTGCCCAGAGCTTGCTCTTCTAACCTATATATATGGGATATTTGTAAGTTGAAGCCATGAAAGTGCAATCCCAAACACAATTCTTTCCTGTCATCATCAAGCTAGGTAACGTGTTATTAGAAATTTAGACCGGCATTAGTGGTCTGGTTTCAGAGCTGAACACTGCAATTCACTGAGAAAGAAATTTATGTTTTTCAATGAATCCCTAAGGGTTATTATATTCACAAAAGTGAAGCATCAGGTCTGTCAGTGCATGTGTAGTGTGTAGTAAAATGTGCTGATGGTGCTATTGCAATTGGATTATCACTTACTTCTCAGGTATGAACCAGAAACTGAGAGTTGGTCAGTTTCCATGCTGCTTGGAGAACAAGTTGGTGGATCAGCTGTGAGATCATTATGCACTCTTTCAAAGATTCATAGAATATTGCTGAAGGCAACTGATGTGTCTGAAAGTGTTCACAGACAAATGGGAAACTCAGAAGACCAAGACAATCTTGTGATACTGGTATCAGTAGGTGCAAAAAGAGTAATGACTGCATGGAAACAAAAACCTAGATCAATATATGAAACGATAGAATCCCAATGCTGTGAACATGATAACAAAGGTGGAGACACCTCTCGCGGTTCTCCATCATCAAAACATTTTTCTCTCCTTTCATTCCAGTGGCTTTCTAGTGATATGCCTGCCAGAAAAAACAACTGCTTGCATGAAAATACTAAGAATATAATTGAAGCTGTCGAAAATGACACACCACTTTCATCGGAAGACAAGAAGATGGAATCAAAACTTGATAGATGTGAAAATGATTGGAGATATCTTGCAGTTACTGCATTCCTTGCTAAAGGATCAGGCTCAAAGTAAGTACACCAACGATTAGCTCCTTGTTTAATTTGTACTTAAGTGTACTTCTGAAACTAAATGAACTTAGTTCCATCTTCAGGGCAACAGTGTGCTTCATAGTTGTTGCCTGTTCAGATGCAACACTTTCATTACGGGCTCTGATATTACCCCATCGACTTTGGTTAGCACAGTTGACTGTTCCTCTTCTAGTTTTTAGTTTCATCTTCTCCTTAAACTGCAAAAGTCAAGATGATGCGGCTTATCTTTAGTCCAAATTTATGTTGCTTATGATTTAATAATTGTTAGGTTTGATGTTGCTCTGTTGACTCCATTATCATCTCCAGTTCTAGCTTTGCAGCATGTCATAGTTCCCAAACATTTATTATCTGAAGGTTAGTTCACCACAAGCACAATCCCAAGCAGTTATCCTGGAACTTGGCTACCATCTTTTGTTTTGTTTTTTTTTATCCCATCATTGCTACCTGATTAGTACTCTGCCATCATTTTTGCTATATATTGTTGATTTTGTTAACATTGTTCTGTTGATTGCAATGTGGGTTGAACAGACATCATTCAAATGGGAAATCTGTATATTGTAATCAGTGGATCTACAGATGGAAGCATTGCACTTTGGGATCTCACCGAACATGTCGAAAGCTTTATGCAACTATTGCCTAGTCTTGAAATGGTAGAAAGTATAGACGACCAAAAAAGACCCCGCACAGGCCGAGGAAGTCAAGGTGGACGATGGTGGCGATCACTTGGCAGTCACGTCTCCAAGAAAAAAAGTGCATGTGGTGAGTGGTTGCCAAGTGAATAAAACTATGTGACAATGAAAAGAGAATTTGATATGCCTTTTCAAAACTATGTTTCCACACCTAACAAAACATGTGTCTTTTGTTCTCAAGGTAATGATGATGCACCATCAGTCTATGTGAAAGAGAAGAAAAGGAACGTCTCGTCCCTGGATATCTATGAAATAGGACCCCTGCATGTCTTTAACAATACACACCAGTCAGGGGTAAACTGTCTTCATGTTTCAAATGTCACCATGCCCACGGCTTCTGATTCAGTGTTTGGGTTCTGTGTTGTAAGTGGAGGTGATGATCAGTCACTTAGCTGTCTTTCATTTGATTTCACTTCTATCGAAAATTTGGAACTTTCAACTTTGGAACATATCGTTTCTTTTCAACTTCAAAGCTATCAAATGAGGCTTGTATTGGTGGATAAGATCCCTTCAGCTCACTCGTCTGCTGTTAAAGGTATGCAATCCCCACATTACTTATGTTTTCTTTGGCACATGCAATTGAATTCTATTGTTCCTAATGTGTGTGTGTGTGTGTACAGGTGTTTGGACAGATGGTAGATGGGCATTTTCAACGGGTCTTGATCAACGTGTCAGATGTTGGAAAATGGAACAAGGCAAACTAATAGAGCGCGCTCATCTTGTGATTAGCGTGCCCGAGCCAGAGGCATTGGATGTTAGACCTCTTGACAGGTAACCCTTTCCAAATACCATTCATTCAAGCGCATTTTCTGACTCAAGTCTTTTTTGGGAAAAAAAATAAACTAGGAGTAAAACATTGAAAAAGTACCAAACTAGGAGCTACATGTTTTTATTTTCAAAATAGAAGTTACAATACCTACAATATCAACATATAATACCAAAAATGCTTTCTTTCATTCTTTCTGAGACATTATTATTGATCCATAATTTACGGATACGTAATGTACACCCGCAGGAACCGTTATCAGATTGCAGTTGCAGGCAGAGGCATGCAAATGGTTGAATTTTTTGCACTTGCCCGCACTCAATAATATACTCCGTAATATGCATCTTCTCCAACTCTTTGGGTTCAACCGTCGGCTCAGTCGACCCTGCCCCTCCGGCAGGACCTTGTACTTGGTCACTAGATCATTTGTTTACACAGATCGAATGTTAGTCTGTCATCTACTACAATAGTTACAGTAACATAGTCATTTTACAGATCTTTTGTTTTATACGGAGTACTTCTTGAGTTCTTTCATCCCTAAATAGATTGCATCAAAGCCAACACAAGGCTATATCTAAATTTTTACAATCCAGTTTTTTATATATATAAAATGGTATATCTTTACTAGGAGTTAAGGAATAATAGATAAGAAAAAAAAGTGTAGAGAGACGATTGAATAAAAAAGAATAATGCATGGGTTATATTTTTTCAATTTTTAGTTCCGAAACTAATTTGATTATTTTAAAACAATAAATTAACCTCTATGATATTTTGCCCAAGATAAAAATACACAAATACTCTTTTCAATGTTCCAAAGTTAAGATCATATTTATCACATTTTTTGGAAAACAGTATACAACTAACGGTAGTCTTTTTAAATCAAAATCTAAGAACCTACCTTTTACTTAAATAATTTTTCGAACCTTTTGAATTCAAAGAGACCACTGGATCAATAAAAGATGTGATTTCTATTCTATACGTTTCTTACATGTATGCTTTTATTACACTTGGAAGTGAAGAGAGTACATTTTCAATCACAAACATTAAAAAATGACAAATTGAGACGCCTAATAATTGCAATTTATAGTTGGAACTTAAGATCCAAAATAAAGGAAACATACAATTGGGTATGATTTATCAAAGGAAAATGCTAGAGATACACCAAAAGTGTACCCCAAATATCTTCCACCCCTCCATAACCACAAAAAAAGCAAGTGAAATTCAAAAAAAAAAATAAAAAATAAAAACAAAATAAAATGTATGATAAAGAGGGGGGTGGTGTACATTTAGAGTACACCTTTCGTGTACCCCTAGCATCTCCCTTTATCAAGTGATTTGTATTCAGAACAAAATTAAGGTTTTGAACAAAATTTGCGTGGAACTATGTTAAGACCACGACAATTGACAGCTGGCAAACGGGTGTTTGGCGACAAAGATGACGTCTATTTTATAAGATGAGATGGCTGTAGCCAAATTGGAGGGAGTTGGAAATGCGAATAGGACTAAGGAGTCATTTTTTTGTACAAACAAGCATGTAAGTATGTGATCTCCATAGTCAAATCTAAACAAACCAAACAAGCCTAAATCTTTTCAAAAAAGAACCAAAGTAAATTCCATAAATAATCTTTTATAACATAGGGTTTTCCATATATAGTTCTCAATTATAACTCTGTGGGGTTTGTTATATGGAAAACCCCATGTTATAAAACATTATTTCTAAAATTTGCTTAGTTCGCGTGTGTTAATGCTTGTCGTCCTTGGGGATATCTTTCTTGGGTATCTCCTTCGGTTTTGCTTTCTCCATCTCCCTAACAAAAAGAGAAATATGCATATCAGATGATTGACAACATTAAGAAAAATTTGCAGCACACGCTCTCAAAGAAACAATATGGAGTAATTCACAGACTCCTAAAGAGTCTTTATATTTACAGGCCAATAACGCTAGAACCCTAAGTAAAAAATGCATCTATCCAATTAATTGTTTTTAATGGTGTCACGTTTGAAACTTTATTGATATTGTGTACGGGATTAATTGTCTTACCATTTTTAGTAAACAACCCCTTATTTCTTACATGTGAATTATTTTGAAAAGTGAAGTATAATGTATACTCATCCTGTAAAAACTGAGTTGTATTTGCAAACCATAAAGGATTGAAGTAGCGGTCCTTGAGAAGAGAATCAATATGTAAAATGCATACACACACTAGCGAGGAGAAAGGCAAAAGTCAGAAGCATACTTGGTGACAGAAACGGATTCTTCCTCAAGCCAGTTGCGAATTTGGCGGGCATTGCGGCGGAAAATGGCAGCAGATTGCTTGACATCAGTCCTCATCATCAGAATGACGGCACTAACTCCTACCACGGTCAGTACAAAGTTGGTAAGTGCCATTCCTTCTTGAAAGGCTCTTCACCCTGAACCTGTTTCCAATGAATTATTAGGCGATGCATATTTTTTGAATGTGATATATTAAGTGGGTGTTTCTCTAGTACTAATAAGTTGTTCTTAACTTATAAGTGAGTTGGTAACATGTTTCTCTGTGCTTATAAGTTGTTTATAAGTCAAAACATAAGTAGGTCTTACCTACTTACTTTTAAGAATGTTTTTGTTTCTCCATTTTGACCAAATCATTTGCAAAACTATCTCTAACCTCGTATGAATATCCTCAAATGATTCATCCCTCATTTAAGCATAAGTTAAAAACTACTTATCAGCAATAAGCCAATAAGCACCATGACAAAAAAACACCCCCTAAATTGTGCATATGAAGTTTGATCATGTAGGATGCATGTTTTGTGAATGTGATATATCGAGCAATGAAAGTATGAAATGTAGTTGAGTTCTGAAACAGAAATATGAAAAGGTTTGTCACACACGGGAAAAGGGACCTTTAATACAGATACAAACATATTTTAATAAGACCTTACTATATAGGTGGACGATGTCCTAGTGGATTAGCTTATAATCACACCATGGGCATAGTCATGCAAACTGGGGGTGTAGCTTATAATCATACCGCCTAGTCACTTTTGGACCTACCCCGGGATGACCTTGGGTCTAGGGTTTTTCAAACTGGGGTAGGTCCAAAAGTGACTAAGCGGTGGTCTAGCTAAAATCATAACTTAATGCACAGGTCATTACACTTGAAGAGTAATACAGTTAATACAATCAATATGATTTATGCGGTGAAATTGGCAGCACTAATTTGATAAATAGTTGTTCAATCTAACTTTTAACTGAAACACCATGCATAAATTCTATTACAAGAATTAATTACGGTAAACTGAATATGAATTTACTAGAGGCATGTTTGGGAATAGCTTTAGCGATTAGAGTTAGCGTTTTCAAAAGGCTATCTACGGGTAGCTTTTAGCGTTAGCGTTTTCAAATTAATCTGCACCGTTAAAATTTTATCCAAAACGCTGACGCTAATCGCTAACACTATTCCCAAACAGGCCCTAGGTCAAAAAATAAAACAAGCTCAAGCATATTTCAGACACAAAGCTCAGAAATTAACAAAATTAGATCACTACTCAAAACTAGGGTTTCAACTAGAAGATATGTAACGGAAAGACACAAATTCAAGTCCTTAACCCAAATTTTGGGGATTTTAATTAAAACACAAAATGCGGAATATTAAACAAATTTGAAGGTTGTTCGAAGTAAAGTTCAATGGACTGGAATTAGGGAGCCGGTAGGATCGAATTCAGCAGACCTTAAGCTGAAAATTTTATGAAAAGAAGAGTGAAATGCGATGAAGATCGAGAATAAGGTTGTAAGAATCGAGTTGGGGTTTCTATCATACCGAATACTTCGAAAAAGATAGCGACTGGAGATGACGAAGAAGGATGGAGGACGGCGAAGCACGACGGAGACGAGGGCGGGCGCGCGACGAGGCGTGAGGAACGGGAAACCTCCTCGGTATATGCGGTATACGTTTACCTATATGTGATGAGAGCAGTGGGTGAATTACCACCGCCGGGCCGGGCCGGGCCGGGCCATATAAACTTGACCCATCTCTATTTTGGATTTGAAATACAATAATGGTGGGGTTCTAGTGACACCGGAGAACGATGCCACTAGCGGTGTCACTGCGTTTTTGAGCACCTCCGGTGCTCCGTTCGTAAAATTGACGATTTCTACCCCTTAACACACCCCCTAAACCCCCACCCCTGCACCCCCACCCCAATCCCGCCGTATGTCCCCACAAAATGTGTGGCTATTATGCATTCCGAACTCCATATAGGGAAGGAGCGTTGTTGTTTGCGAGGTCTCGATCAATTACATGGACCCACTTTTCATTCCATTTGTGGGAATTTGATGATCTATAAACCGTTCCTCTGTCGAGCGACATCGTACCTCTGCGCGAGCTATAGATTCATTTCACATAGTTCAACTCATCCTCACCCCAACCCTGCCGTATGCCCCCCACAAAATGTGTGGCTATTATGCAATGCATAATTGACACACATTTTGCGGGGGGCTTACGACGGGGTTGGGGTGGGAGTGCAGGGGTGAGGGGTAGGGTGGGGTGTTAGGGGTGGGTTAGGGGGGTTGGAATCGTCAATTTTATGAACGGAGCATAGAAAGTGCCCTAAAAACACAGTGGCACCGTTCTCCGGTGTCACTAGAACCGGGCCGATACAATAATGCTACACTTACACTAAAAAGTATACTCCAAAGTTATACCAAAGGTATACACTTACATTTTTATTATTTACATTGACACAAAATGCTGATGGGTTAATAAAAATTTGCATTACTCTAATACTCCCTCCGTCCTAAAACTTTTTTCCCACTTCCCCTTTTTCTCCGTCCTAAAACTATCTTCCCATTATAAAAAAAGATGACAAATGACATTAATACCCTCATTTATTTACACCAATTATCTTCTAACTCTATATTTTGAATGATTGTAAAAAAAAAATTCAAAAAATCTTTTTTAAGGAGGGTAAAATTTGAAGTCAAATCCAAAAATTAAAAATGGAGAAAAGTCAAACTGGGAAGAAAATTTTCGGACAGAGGGAGTATTACACTAATACAAAATGAAGGTGTAAATTTGTGGGGTACAAATTGAGTTACAAATCTTGGGATACAAATAACTTAAGAGCAATGTTAGGGGTACACCTTTGGTGTACCCCATTTGTCCCACACCCCTTTCTCCACCACTCATTTTTACCCCATTTTTATCTATTTAATTTTTTTTAGTCTCTTGCTCATTTTTGTGGTAATGGAGGGGGTGTGGGACAAATGGGGTACACCTTTGATGTACCTCTAGCATTTTTCATAACTTAATCCTTTGAAATATATTATAAGTACCCAAAAAATACTCATCGTTCTAAAAATATTTCATATTTTGATTTTTTTAAATTAAAATGTGATACTAGAAAAAATGTTTACAATATTAAAATGTTTTTTGGAGAGTAAGGGTAATGTCTTAAATAAAATTACATATTACTCCCTCCGTCCCGGAGTATTCGTCCAGTTTTGACTTTTGGAACTGTTCATCTAATCACTTTGACTCATTAAATTTCCTCAATGTGTAAGCCTAAATATAATCATGTGTGATCTTGTTTGATTTGTCTTAACATATAAATTATTAATATATAATTTCTATAATTTTTTAATATATAAATTACAAGATAAAATAGATTAAAAAATTGTATTGGATGATGTGTAAAAATGAGAGTAGACAAATACTCTGGGACAAAAATAGTACATTTTAATATGTAATTTTTATTTTTTAATTTCATATAAAATGATTCCAAGTACCAAAAAAGCAGCTAAAAGTGAAAGACTTCACATTTCGCAGGAAATCATTTGATTTCAAGTTTGCAGCTGGAGCTAGGGGAGTAAGGGGTAATGTCTTCGCGCGATAAGAAACCCTCCAAGTCCTCCAGCGGCACCGGCCGGATCGGCGGCATCAGAACTCTCTCCGATTTGAATCGACCGTCAGGCCATGACTCGGATAGCGACTCCGATGGCCCCGAGTACTACACTGGCGGTGAAAAAAGGCAAAATTTCTCTAACACTGCCTCCCTCTTTCTTTTCTCACAAATTCTTGACTGTATCGACTTTATTCGAATTTAATTTATGGTCTTGACTGTCATTGTTCATCCGATTGGGTGTTAATTTGAAATTTATGACCATTTCTTCTTCTTCTGCGATAATGAGCCTCTAATTGAGCTGTTTGCGTGGACTGCAGTATGATTTCTGTTGATTTCGGTATCATTATATGTATTTAACCTTAGATCCATTTACTTTAACTAAAACCTCCGAGAACCAAGAAAAAATTTACTGGAGAAAATTGGATGTTCTCTGTGGATTTAGCAGCTTTTTGATGTGAAAGAAATTCAGTAATAACGTATAGCTCAAAAGGAAAGATTGTGCCATGGACTGCAGATACAACGTGAATATGATCCAAAAAGTATCATTTGTAAACACAATTCAATTTCCATGATACACGCACAAATACTTTCTACTACCAAAACCAATCTCTGCAAATATAAAAGGATTTTCTATTACCTAATCAGATGCGATCCCATATTCCAGCAATTGTGATCTTTTTTAAAGAGTCAGAATTTTGGACTTTCAGAAGTGCTTGTTTGCCCGTACTTTTTTTTGAGCTAGGGTCTTTTGGAAACAGCCTCCCTACTTTCAAGTAGGGGTAGGGCCTGCCTACACTTACCTCAGACCCTACTTATTCTTTTTGGATTCTACTGGGTAGTACTAGTAGTTTCCATAGCTACGAGTGGCAGAGATGAGGATGCTAAGGTGGATGTGTGGTCATACAAAGATGGCTAAGATCCCAAATGAGGTTTTCCGTGGCAGGGTGGGAGTGGTGACTGTGGTCTATATGGAGGATAAGCTGGAAGAAGCCAGATTGAGATGATTTGGGCACATATTACAGAAAAGGATAAATGCCCTAGTGAGGAGGCACAAGAGGTTTGAGGTATAGGCTAGGGCGTAAGGATGGTAAGAGGAAGACCTAAGAAGAACTGGAATGATGTGATTAGACAAGACTTACGACTTCATGATCTTACTAAGGATATGACTTAACTAAGAGTATATGGAGGTCTAGTATCAGGGTGGTAGGATAAATTTTTGGGCCTTAGTTTGTAGTTTCAGCATGTGTGTTGTTGTGTCTAAGTTTGCTATTTTTGTGTTTGTGCTTGTTTTTGTTTGCATTCTTACTTTCCTCGTGTCGTGCCACTTTCCTTTATCATTGTGTTCCCGTGTTTTGAGTGAGGTGTCTCTTGGAAACACTCTCTATTTTTCAAATAGAGGTAAGGTCTGCATACACACTCTCTCTTCAGACCCCACTCTCCGAGATTTTACGTGTGTGTTGTTGTTGTTGTACTACTTTCCAACACAAACTAAATAAATCTCATGAATTTTATTCCAATATTCGAGCAATATGTTAGTGCTGAATGCTTCTGTATCGCTGTCTTCTTGGTTGATAGGCTTGAAGTAATTGATGCTTATCTAATAGTATCATGATGCATGAATGACTTTTTTAGATCAAAAAAGGCAATGCATAGCATATGAATTCATGGATGAAGATAATGTTGCTCAAGTCTTGGAATAATTTTTTGAACCTTTCACTTACATAGTATCTGTTGAAAGCTTTTCCTGGACTTTTGCTAGTCTCAGATTATGCCAAGTGTTTTATCATCCTACTGACGTTATTGTGGTTTCTTTTCTCTGCAGTGGAATGTTAGTGCAAGATCCTTCAAAACGTAATGATGTGGATTCAATATTTGATCAAGCCAGGCAGCTAGGAGCAACACAAGGTCCTCTGGAAAACCTCCGCCCTTCTTCAAGCTCAACACGATTCACTGGGATTGGGAGAACACTAACTGGGGAAGCAGCTCCACCTACTGCCCCTCAACCACCTGAGTCAGTTGTGCACAATATCGTGTTTTGGAGGAATGGTTTTACTGTAAATGGCGGTCCCTTGAGGAGGCTGGATGATCCTGCAAACGCTCCTCTTATAGAGGTAACATTAACCTTTTCATAGACTAACATTAACAACAGATTATTTGTCTAGGTTGTACAAAAATTCTATCCTACAACTGTAGATACAAGCATACTTTACATCCACTGTGAATTAGTGAGCTATTTATTTCTGGTTAGTGAACTTATGAGTTTTTTTTTGTGTGTGTAGTGATTGTGTACTTCAGTAATTCATTTTTTAATTAGTGAGCATACAAATCTCTGTTGAAAAATGCTTACGGTATTCTTATACCTACGGTTGTACATTATAGCAGCTCGTTGTTTTAAGCTAATTCGTGTTGGTATTTAGAACGGAGTATTTATTGTTTCGTTTCCTAGAAGCCATTTTGTGCTTCACAACGAACACTTATTACATGTGATTTTGCATTTTTACTTGATTGTTTCGTATACCCTTACCCAAGATTCACTTTGATGATATAATAATGTGTTCAGCAGCATATTTAGTTAGTTCTATTATATCTTATCTAATTTGGTTGCAAGCTGTTGTGTTTTTTAATGACAACGCTTGTTATGCACACCAATGCTACCTTGATCTGCTTAGAATCTTCATTGAGTCATTTGCAATCATCGCTAGTGTTGAAAATGTTTTCTCCATAATAATGTAGTAACGACCTTATATGCAGAGCATTAAAAAATCTGAGTGTCCTAAAGAACTGGAGCCTGCAGATAGGAGGACCGTCGTCAATCTTAGTCTCACGAGGAGGGAGGAGAACTGTCCTGTAAGTAACTCGCCAAGTACCATCCATTTATTCCTTATGAATTTCTGCCAACCCTCTTTTTCTTTTTTTTTAAACTAGGAAAAAGGATTGGGAATCGCCATTCATTCCTCTTGTTATTGAGCTTCCCTTCACTTTTCGGATTATGGTATTTGATTAAAGTTATTTTCAATTCAATATAATTTAAAATTG